TTTCCTGTCTATTGTTCAACCCAAAATGGCCGCCAACCTAGGGTTAAACGTTACTATCGTACGTGTCTCTTTGCATACTATTCCAATAGAATGATTATCATAACTGATATTATTTTTACATAATATTTGTTTGAAGGTTAATGTTATACAGGGCTGGTTTATGTGTGAAGTATCTATATATCGGAGACTATCGATACTGTTATGCTGAGAAGGGGAAAGGAAAAAGTAATAAACCAACAATGTTGTTCCTTCACGGTTTCTCGACGTCCAAAGATATGTACTGTTCTGTTGTTATGGTTAGTCATTTAAAGACACTATGGACAGAAACATTTATTTTCTTAATATTGTTGTTGGAAACTCAAATCGGACTATGAAAAATTGTCTTTGCAGGGCACACATTTAATACGCATGTACAGTGGCTTGTTATTGTATTGTAGGGTAAAATATGACAGTAGATCATGAAACTTGAAGATGGATAGAATATGAACACAAAATTATGCATATCTAAGCACAATGCAATTATAAGTAGGCAATGCATGAATGCAGTATTAGAACTCTCTAAATTGGTAAAATTGTTCAAAGTTAACCGTAGAGGGAGATGTTACTAGAAATGGATTATACATTGCATTTTTATTATTTACAGGCACTGGCCAAAGATCTGCACATAATTCTATTAGACATGCCTGGTCATGGATACACAACACAGAAAGTCAAAGATGACCATTCGTTTGTAGCACAAGCAAACAAAATACACCGGGTATGTTTAATTTTGTCTAAGCATTCAAACTTTATACATACTATGGCGGCACAACAAAGGCATTCCTTTCATATTTATAAATATTTAAGAATATAATGCAATAAATTGTATTTTTTTCAAATTTAATGTTTCCTGACATTGTATGTCACTGTTGATTTTTTTATGAGAATGATGAGAGTAAATATAGTGTATTGTATTCCATACTTGTAACTAAGTGAAGGAGTTGTGTATACGACTATCTTCTTATCATATTGGCTATATGATAACGCGTTAATCTCGCCTTAACCAAGCCTGATTTTACAGGTACGCCCACTTACCTTGATTAGTGTTCTCCAACGCTGCAAGCATTAGTGAATAATCCAATCAGTTAATCCATTCGTTTAATGGTCTAACTAATGTTTGTTTGTTTGCTGAAACACTTAAAATTCCTCAGAAAGAAACTAACTACTGAAACACATATTTAAAACATACAAATTTGACAAAAAATACTACCGGTATCTAAAGCACGACAATAGTTTACAAAAAAGTAAAATAAGCAATATACAGTAAATCAATGAAACATGGAAAAAGAATGGAAAAATGAGAAAAATATTTATGTTAATTTGCTACTAGAAGACGTTGCTGTTTTGATGAATTGGGAAACTGGTATTTGTACATTCACTGTTGTATCACCCATTATTTAAAAAAATTATATTCACTCATATTTATGAAATTCATAATGTGTTTAGTAGTCTAAGATGGCTGACCTGTGACCACTCATATAGATTTTGCCCTTGAGTTTGGTGGTCCATTTTATACAAATAATACATATTATGTTCATAGCCAATGAAAACATGACAGTTTGAGACACGTGTAACGTATCTAACAACTCGCGTCCCCTCACATCTCACTCTGTTCTAAGGTGGGTTGCATTGTGGGCGACTCTCTGGAAGACGGTATGGGGTCAACTGTATTTCAATCCTGGTATGCTAAGCTTAACGTATTGGTGAACAGCTTGGGAAAATATAGTAGAGATACCATGGTTATCCTGAAAAATACAATTCATTAATATCATATTTTTATTTTTCTAATAGTTTGTAAAGGCTTATGGTTTGGACAAATCTGCATTTCATCTCTGTGGTACTTCAATGGGTGGTGCAGTAGCAGGAATATATGCTGCATTATATCCACATCATTTGGTCAAATTAACATTGGTTTGTCCTGCAGGTATTCTGTACAGCCACTTTTATCTTTACAGTGTTATCGATAGATTGCGTTGTTTGGGCCAAGTAAAAGCCGACTTGTATGTTTGGTGTATGAAATATACCATGAGCAGACTGAAGTTTAAAACTAGTCTCTCAAAACTAAATTTACACGATGACTGTTGAATATGAAGTCACATTGAATTGGCTATAAATGGAGAAGATAAGGAAATGTGGATATTAATAATTAATATTATATTAACATTTACCCAGGAATTATAACCCCCAAGCTAAGTAAATATGCTGAAATGATAAAGAATGGCGAGGAAGACCGGCTTAGACCAGACACAGCGAAAGGTGTAAGGAACATGTTGGATATGATAGTGTATAACAAACTGAGAGTACCAAACTGGGTATGTACAACAAAAAGCTGATGGTGCGGCATAGACATTTTATCTGGGCCGAACTTTATTTCCCAGGAGAGTCCTTGTACTCTTTGTACTTGGCCTAAAAAAACACCGCCTCAAACACATGTATATATTTTGGAGGTTGTTGGTGTGTTCTGTCAACTTTCTGCACGGAACTTTAGCGGGACAAAGGGGAACATGTTTCTATTTCTGAATGGAAAATGCTATATAAAATTCTAGAGCATTTTATAGGCAATGTGTAAATGAGTACACGTGTGTGTAAGCGTTGACCTTTCAGAATGTGTAGTCATTTCTCTCACATAATTTGCATACGGAAATAGTGGCAGGTATAACCATACGCAAGACCTGCATCATGATGAACTTATGATCTAACTCATAAAATCATTTAGCCCCAAAGCCAAAGAACATTTTCTAGAACACTTGTGAGAACAAAGAGACTTGTCTTGAAACAGGAGAGTCATAGAGTCCACCACTGGAGCATTGTGATTAATCGAGAGTCACCAGGGGGTTTATAAAAAAGACTTCTTCC